AAATGTTTTAAAAAGCAAAGGACAAATTTAAAATAGAGTTTATTCATTTTCTTTTTGCTTGTTTGCTTATACAGGCAGTGTCACTGCTGCCTTAAAATAATGGGTTATAAAAAAGGTATTTGCAAGCCTATGGTAACTTCGAAAATATACAATGGACACACAAAACAAACAGAAGTTATATCATACTAGAGAAAATCACCTTCACTAAAAGGCAGGCAGGAAAGAAAAGAGGAAGAAGACCAGAAAATACATAATAAAATGGAAGGAATAAGTCCTTATGTCTCAATAATATTGAATGCAAGTGAACTAAACTCTCTAATTGAAAGACAGAGTGACTGAATAAATTTTTAAAAAAAGACCCAATCATCTGCTGCTTATAAAAAAACCAAACAAACAAACAAAAAAAAAAACTCTTTACCTGGCCAGGCTTGGTGGCTCACTCCTGCAATCCCAGCACTTTGGGACACTGAGGCAGGCAGATCATGAAGTCAGGAGCTCGAGACCATCCTGGCCAACATGGTGAAACCCTGTCTCTACTAAAAATACAAAAATTAGCTGGGCATGGTGGCGCATACCTGTAATCCCACCTATTTGGGAGGCTGAGGCAGGAGAATCACTTGAACCAGAGAGTCTGAGGTTTCAGTGAGCTGAGAATGAGCCACTGCACTCCAGCCTGGACAACAGAGCAAGACTCCATCCAAAAAAAATTTTTTTTTCACCTATAAAGACATATGTAGACTGAAAATAAAGGCATGAAAAAAAAAACACACACAAATAGAACAGGAATCGCTATACTTAGACAAAACAGATTTCAAGACAAAAACTATGAGACAAAGGTCACTATGTAACAATACAAGGGTCAATTCAGCTAGAGGATGTGACAATGGTAAATATACATGCACCCAACACTGGAGTACCCAGATATATAAAACAAGTATTATTAGAGCTAAAGAGAGATAGGCCCCAAAACGATAATAGCTGGAGACATTAACACCTCACTTTCAGCACTGGACAGATCTTTCAGACAAAAACGGAAATGCTGGCCTTAACCTACACTATACACCTAGGGAACATCACGTTTGCAGAACGTTTCAGCCAACAGCTGCACAATGAACATTCTTTTCATCAGGACATGGGTCATTCAAGGATAGATTTTTAAAAAGTCTTAAAACATTCAAGAGACGAACAACATAAAGAATCTTCTCTGGGCCGGGCGCGGCGGCTTGCGCCTGTAATCCCAGCACTTTGGGAGGCCAAGGCGGGTGGATCACGAGGTCAAGAGATTGAGACCATCCTGGTCAACATGGTGAAACCCCATCTCTACTAAAAATACAAAAAATTAGCTGGGCATGGTGGCGCGTGCCTGTGATCCCAGCTACTCAGGAGGCTGAGGCAGGAGAATTGCCTGAACCCAGGAGGCGGAGGTTGTGGTGAGCCGAGATCGCACCATTGCACTCCAGCCTGGGTAACAAGAGTGAAACTCCGTCTCAAAAAAAAAAAAAAAAAAAAAAAAAAAAAAAAGAATCTTCTCTGATCACAATGAAATAAAACTAGAAATCAAAAACGAGGAATTTTGGAAACTATACAAACACATGGAAACTAAACATGCTCCTGAATGACCAGTGGGTTAAATTAAGGGAATTTTTTTTGAGTCTTTTCTTGAAACAATGATAATGAAAACATGACATATCAAAACCTCTGGGATACAGTGAAAGCAGTACTAAGAGGGAATTTTATAGCTACAAGTGCCTGCATCAAAAGAGCAAAACTTCAAACGACCTAATGATGCATCTTAAAGAATAAGAAATGTGGCCGGGCGCGGTGGCTCACCTGCAAGCCTAACGCTTTGCAGGGCCAAAGCAGGTAGGTTGCCTGAGCTCAGGACAAGACCAGCCTGGGCAACACGGCAAAACTCCGTCTCTACTAAAATACAAAAAAATTAGCTGGGCATAGTGGCGCGTCCCTGTAATCCCAGCTACTCAGGAGGCTGAGGCAGGAGAATTGCCTGAACCCAGGAGGCGGAGGTTGAGGTGAGCCGAGATTGCGCCATTGCACTCCAGCCTGGGTAACAAGAGTGAAACTCCGTCTCAAAAACAAACAAATGAAAAAAGAATTAGAAATGTAATGCCAGATATGGTGTCTCACACCTGTAATCCCAGCACTTTGAGAGGCTGGGACAGGCAGATCACTTGAGGTCAGAAGTTCAAGACCAAACTGGCCAACATAGCAAAATCCCAGGTATAGTAGCATGGACCTGTAGTCCCAGCTACTGGGGAGACTGAGGCACAAGGATTGCTTAAACCAGGGAGGTAGAGGTTGCAGTGAGCCAGAATCACCCCACTAAACTTCAGCCTGGGTAACAAGAGCAAAAAAACTCCATCTCAAAAAAAAAAAAAAAAAGTCCATACTATTCAAAGCAATCCCTATCAAAATACCAATGGCATTCTTTATAGAAACAGAAAAAAAAAAAAAAAACTATCCTAAAACTTATTTTAAAACCAAAAGACCCAGGACTGCCAAAGCTATCCTAAGCAAAAAGAGCAAAACTGGAAAAACCCCATTACCTGACTTCAAATTATATTACATAGCTATAGTAACTAAAATGACATAGTACTGGCATGAAAACAGACATATAGATCAGTGGACCAGCTATAGAGAACTTGAAATTAAATCTATACATCTATTGTGAATCCATTTTTGACAAAGGAGCCAAGAACATACTCTTCAATAAATGGTGCTGGGGAAACTGGATATCCATATGCACAAGAATGAAGTTAGATCTCCATCTCTCACCATATATTTTAAAAAATTAAAATGGCTTGAAGACATAAATCCAAGACCTCGAACTATGAAACTACTACAAGAAAACATTGGGGGAACTCTCCAGGACATTGGAATGAGCAAAGATTTCTTGAGCAATACCGCGAAAGCACAGGCAACAGAAGCAAAAAATGGATACATGGGATCACATCAAGTTAAAAAAACCAAAGGAAATGTAGCAAAGGAAACAAAGTAAAGAGACAACTCACAGAATGGGAGAAAATATTTGCAAACTGTCTGATGGGATTAATAACCAATCCAAGGAAAGCAAACAACTTTATAGGGGAAAAATAATCCAGTTAAGAATAGACAGATCAGGCGCCGTGGCTCACACCTGTAATCCCAGCACGTTGGGAGGCCAAAGCGGGCAGATCACAAGGTCAAGAGATCAAGACCATCCTGGCCGACATGGTGAAATCCTGTCTGTACTAAAAAGTACAAAAAATTAGCTAGGCCTGGTGGTGTGTGCCTGTAGTCCCAGCTACTCAGGAGGCGGAGGCAGGAGAATTGCTTGAACCCAGGAGGCGAAGGTTGCGGTGAGCTGAGATCGTGCCACTGCACTCCAGCCTGGCGCCTGGTGACAAAGCGACTGTCTCAAAAAAAAAAAAAAAAATAGACAAAATATTTGAATAGACATATCTGAAGACATACAAATAGCAAACAGGCATGTGAAAAAGTGTTCATATCAACGATCAGAGAAATGCAAATCAAAACTACAATGAGCTATCATTTCACCCCAGTTAAAATGGCTTTTATCCAAGACAGGCAATAACAAATGTTGGTAAGGATGTGGAGAAAAGGGAGCCCTCATACACTGTTGCTGGGAATGTCAATTACTATAACCACTATGAAGAACAGTTTGGAGACTCCTCAAAACACTAAAAATAGAGCTAATATGGGCTGGGCACGGTGGCTCACACCTGTAATCCCACCACTTTGGGAGGCGGAGGCAGGCAGATCACCTGAGGTCAGGAGTTTGAGACCAGCCTGACCAATATGATGAAACCTCATCTCTACTAAAAAATACAAAAATTAGCCAGGCATGGTGGCATGCACCTGTAATCCCAGCTACTCGGGAGGCTGAGACAGGAGAATCACTTGAACCAGGGTGGCGGAGGTTACAGTGAGCCAAGATCATGCCATTGCACTCCAGCCTGGGCAATAACAGCAAAACTCTGTCTCAAAAAAAAAAAAAAAAAAAAAAAAAAAAAAAAAGAGCTAACATAGGATCCAGCAATCCTAGGCACAGATCCAAAATAAAGGAAATTAGGATATTGGAGACACCTGTACTTCTGTGCTTATTTATCACTGTTTACAATAACCAAGATTTGGAAGCAACCTTAACATCCAACAGATAAAGAAAATGTGATACATACACCCAGTGGAGTACTATTCAGTTATAAAAACCAATGAGACTCTGTCATTTGCAACAAGGCTTGAACCAGAGGTCATTGTGTTAAATGAAATTAGCCAGGCACAGGAAAATGAACTTTGCATGTTCTCACTTATTTGTGGGATCTAAAAACTTTAAACAAAAATTGAACTCATGGAGATAGAGTAGGATGGTTAGAGTCTCGGAAGGGTAGTGGGAGGTTGGAGGGGAATGTGGGGATAATTAATAGGTACAAAAAATAGAAGAAATGAGTGAGAATAGTCTCTGCTAGCACAAGAGGGTGAGTAAAAAATATTTTAATTGTGCATTTTAAAAAAGTTAAAAGAATATCATTGGATTGTTTGTAACACGAAGGGCAAATGCTTGACGGGACAGATACCCCACTTACCCTGATGTGATTATGCATGTATCAAAATACCACATGTAACCATAGATATATATACCCACTATGTACCCACAAAAACTAAAGAAAACAAAATTTAAATAAAGTGTTTTTTAACATAGGTTAGTGAATTACTTTGATTCTAGGTACTTGACTCTTAAGGATATATTGAAAAATGGATCTCACAAATGCCATGAGCAAACATCCAGAATATTAACTAGATAGACATAATACAGAGCTTAGTATGTACCAAGTACCTCACATGCATTCTTAGTGTTTATTCTCTCAATACAGAAAGAATGAGCTGTCCAAAAAGAACAGCAGTCAATCATTAATGAGACTCAGTTCCTTTCCGCATTACTCTTCATTTGACCCGACCATGACATGATTTTGAAACTGTCTTACCATTCTTCTGCCTTGAAAGATGTTTGCATTCCTCAAAACTCTTCCATGGAGGGACAAAAGGTTGCTATCAAATTTGAAATTCCAGGGTTGAAGTAATGCTTGCGCTTTTTCCCTGAAAATTAAAAGATTGCCAAAATGATTAAACCAAGTAAGACATGCAGAAGCAGTTAGCCACCGGTGCAAGGCAATTTCCTTCCATTCCAGCTTTGGTGGTCGCTTGTCCGCAGCGTTGAGATGCAGCAGTACCTTCCCTGAAACTCTGAAATCTTGTTTTTGCTCTCATAGGCATAAAGGTCCTTAGAGCCTTTCGATTTCATTCTTCCCCATCCAACCTCCTAACCTTGCAATGACAGAAGAACTAGGATTGTCCCCTGACAACAACAAAATTCTTCCCAATTGTCACTTGCCAATAGAAGAATCTGAGATGCCAGGATGTACACAAGCACCCGCTTCATCGCGACGCTATGCACGTGCACCCACGAACACTCAGCCAGAAAAGCAGCACTTACTCTTCTATGCTTTTCCTGAGTCCTTTTAATGAATTATGCCTCTTTTCTGGACTCAATTTTGTTTCTGTAGCCAAGTCTTTCATACTGGTATAATCCTTACGTATTTCATCTGTTAGACCTTTAAAAAAAATGCAAAAGACACAGCTGAACAAGCATGAATTTGAGTGAGGACTGAATTATGATAGCTGGAGAACTACCACCAAAGAGACACTTCGAGTTCCCCAAAAAGCCTGCACAAAGTCATAATTATAACTGACGTTAAAGAGGGGCTGTCAGTTGCCAATACCTGTCATGTAGCACAGCTGAGGAATCAGCAGGATAGGCTGACGCTGTGGACCTGTTTGGCCCTTTTTCCATCTGCCCTGGCTGACCAGAAGTGGCTGCCTCATCACAGTGATGATTTCTTTATGTTGCTGCCCAACAACAAGAGACCAGCATGACCATCAACGAAACATTAGAAACGCCACATACAGAGGTTCAAAAGTGCACAGGTGGGACTACGAATGAAGGGCCAGAGGCGTGCTGGCGATGTTTCCGCAAGTTGAATAGTGTACTATGAACACTCTCAAAATTCTCTCACCTTTGATAGGCCAGGGATCCTTTTCTCTTGTGAACATACTTGGCAAAGACAGGACTCCCACGAAACAGGACACTGGAGTGGTCAAGCTACTCTAACACTGTATATGAGCAGGGGTGAGACAGTGTCTATAGTTCTCACTGCAGTGTTGCCTTTAAAATTCCCAAAGATACTGAAAACTGTCAAGAGGACCACCCCCACACCCTGCCACCCTGCCACCCAGCCACATGAGATGGGTAATTACAGATCTGTTCATGATGCTCTTCCTGCATAGTCTCTCCCTAAGCCCTTCGTCCCTGTTTCTAGTAGGAAAAGACATTTGCAGACAAAGAAGTTTCTATACTGATGCTGCAATTCTTTTTTTCTTTTTTTTTTTTTTTTGAGATGGAGTTTTACTCTTGTTGCCCAGGCTGGAGTGCAAGGGTGTGAACTTGGCTCACCACAGCCTCTGCCTCCCCGGTTCAAGCGATCCTCCTGCCTCAGTCTCCCGAGCAGCTGGGACTACAGGCACATGCCACCATGCCCAGCTATTTTTTTTTTTTCTTTTTTTAGTACAGATGGAATTTCACCACGTTGACCAGGATGGTCTCGATCTCTTGACCTTGTGATCCGCCTGCCTCAGCCTCCCAAAGTGCTGGGATTACAGGCTGTGAGCCACTGTGCCCAGCCACTGATACTGCAATTTTTTTTTTTTTTTTTTTTTGAGACAGAGTTTCGCTTTTGTTACCCAGGCTGGAGTGCAATGGCGAGATCTCGGCTCACCGCAACCTCCGCCTCCTGGGAACAGGCAATTCTCCTGCTTCAGCCTCCTGAGTAGCTGGGATTACAGGCACGCGCCACCATGCCCCCCTAATTTTTTGTATTTTTAGTACAGACAGGGTTTCACCATGTTGACCAGGATGGTCTCGATCTCTTCACCTCGTGATCCACCTGCCTCGGCCTCCCAAAGTGCTGGGATTACAGGCATGAGCCACCGTGCCCAGCCCACATCAGCTTCTATACGTAAAATGTTATTTCTGGCTGAACACAGCGGCTTGCAAGGAGGATGGCTTGAGTCAAGGAGGTAGAAGGTGCAGTGAGCCGTGTTCACACCACTGCACTCCAGCCTAGCAACAGAGCGAGAGCCTGTCTCAAAAAGTTATGTCCAGGCTAGGCGTGGTGGCTCACTCCTGTAATCCCAGCACTTTGGGAGGCTGAGGTGGGCAGATCATGAGGTCAAGAGATCAAGACCATCCAGGCCAACATGGTGAAAACCCGTCTCTACTAAATAATGCAAAAAAATTAGCGGGGCGTGGTGGCATGCACCTGTAGTCCCAGCTACCCAGGAGGCTGAGGCAGGAGAATTACTTGAACCCAGGAGGTGGAGGTTGCAGTGAGCTGAGATTGTGTCACTGCACTCCAGCCTGGCACCTGGCAACAGAGCAAGATTCTGTCTCAAAAAAAAAGTTAATGTCTGTTGTTTCTATCATTAAACCTCTTGAAAGCCAGGATTGAACTTCTCTTCTAATGACTCATCTATGAATTCTGTCATTTTTTTTAAACCTGACCTCATGACGACACCAGATGTAAGCTGTCACTTATTAAATTCCCACTAGGGCCAAGACTACCCCTAATTTTGTCAGATATTTCAGCCCATCTATTTTATTCAACTAAATTTGCTGAAATCATTTTCTTTTTTCTTTTCTTTTTTTTTTTTTTTAAGATGGGGTTTCACCATTATGGCCTGGCTGGTCTTGAACTCCTGACCTCAGGTGATCCACCCACCTCTGCCTCCCAAAGTGCTAGGATTACAGGCGTGAGCCACCGCGCCCAGCTCATTTTCTTATCTTCGTCTACATCCAAGACTCCTACTCACCAATACATGCCAGGAAAGCAGTTTTCCTTCCAACGCCAAATTCTCTCAAATTACTAACCTCACTGTTCTGTGATCCCAACATACAGTGAGCTGACTCTTGCAACCTGTATTTCAGTCTACACTTCATGCCTCTGCCCATTATCCTCTTCTCCCTGATCTACAGACGCTCGCTTCTGACATTTACAAATCAGCTTCTCAAAGAGGCTTTCCACAACCACCCCAAGTCAGTAGCCACCAGATACCCTCCATGACACTCCCAATTTTAATCATCTGCCTGTCCCCTGGGACTATCAGAATCGTCTTCTGTTTGCCACCTCTGCCTACCATGAGGATGTATGGTCTTTGAGATCAGCTGGCTGTATACCTAGGATACAGTATAGGTGTTCCCTAAATGCTTTTGGGTTTGAATGAACAAGCTCTAAGTGTGGTACATGAATGAGGACAACTTCATAATTGAAGCATCTCCCGGCGGGGCACAGTGGCTCATGCCTGTAATCCCAGCACTTTGGGAGGCTGAGGTGGGTGGATCATGAGGTCAGAAGACCGAGATCATCCTGGCCATGGTGAAACCCCATCTCTACTAAGATACAAACAATTAGCCAGGCACAATGGTGCGTGCCTGTAGTCCCAGCTACTCAGGAGACTGAGACCGGGAATCTCTTGAACCTGGGAGACGGAGGTTGCAGTGAGCCAAGATCGAGCCACTGCAATCCAGCCTGGCAACAAAGCAAGAGCATGTGAGTGTGTGACTGTATGTGTATATACACGTACATGGCGTCTCCTTAGGGAGATCAGAGTGCTGTGTTCCCTCAATGGTTCTGCGAAAAGAAAATAAATCTTGGGACCCCAAAGGGAAACTCAAGCTGGGAATTGCATTAGGCAAACCTGCCTCCCATTTTATTCCTACGTAAGACAGCTAAGATTAAAAAAGAAAAAAGCCACGTATCTCCTTCACAATTGGCCCACAAGGAAATTCCTTGTGGGCCCTAAGAATTGTTGAATTTTACCCTGGCAATGTAAATTGATAGCTGATCTTCACAGGTGGGGGACATAAAGACAGAACTCCCAGTCACCCTTCTGAGACAGATGCGTATCTGATTGCTTCTTCTGCCCTGTTTATGTAAAAATGCAGATTCACTGAGCTAGACTAAGCCATAAATGACTATTCCTCTACCCCTCTCTCACAGTAAATTGTGTACGCGGTGAAAGGCTGACCAGAGACTCAGAAGAATGCAGCCTTTGTCTCTTATTTACCTATGATCTGGAAGCTTTCCTTTCCGCCCTGACACACGGCCCCACTAAGGGCTGTCCTGCCTTTCCGGACCAAACCAATGTACATCTTACATATGTTGACAGATGTCTCATGACTCCTGTGTAAAGCCAAGCCATACCCCAACCACCTTGAGCACGTCATCAGGACCTCCTGAAGCTATTCCTGAGTGCATCTTAAACCTTGGCAAAATAAGCTTTCTAAATTGATTGAGACCTGTCTTAGCTACTTAGAACTGTGAACCAAGACTATCTATGTTTGAGGTTTTAATATAAAAATACAAGCTGTTTTCTACCATTCATCTGTAAGTTGTTTCCAGTTGCTACAAATGTCTGAAATGGGTTTAGTAGTGTTTCTTTCACCTGCCAAAGCTAGAAAGATCGACTGCATCAACTGGCACATCTTATTTAGTCTTCCTTTGTGAACGCTCAGGTTGAGGAATCCATGCCTTGGGAGATTAGCATGTAATTGACATTATTTTCCATGTTGATCATTTTTATCTTTTGGACTGAGTTCTATGGGGCTGAGATTTCTAGATAAGTAACATTATCTTATCTGAATTCTTACCATATTTTCCACCGAACAATCCAACCACATTTTAAAAACTACAATTGCAGGCTGGGTGCAGTGGCTCATGCCTGTAAACCCAGCACTTTGGGAGGACAAGGCAGGTGGATCACCTGAGGTCAGGAGTTCAAGACCACCCTGACCAATATGGTAAAACCCGTCTCCACTAAAAATGTGAAAATTAGCTGCGCATGGTGGTGGGTACCTGTAGTTCCAGCTACTTAGGAGGCTGAGACAAGAGATTTGCTTGAACCCGGGAGATGGAAGTTGCAGTGAGCCAAGATCATGCCACTGCCCTCCAGCCTGGGTGATGGAGCAAGACTCCAACGAAAGAAAGAAAGAAAAGAAAGAAAGAAAGAAAGAAAAGAAAGAAAGAGAAAGAAAAAGAAAGAAAGAAAGAAGAAAAAAGACTGATAGGCCTGGCACATGCCTGTAATCCCAGCACTTTGGGAAACTGAGGTGGGCAGATCACGAGGTCAGGAGTTCAAGACCAGCCTGGCCAACATGGTGAAACCCCCATCTCTACTAAAAATATAAAAGTTAGCTGGACATGGTGGTACGTGCCTGTAATGCCAGCTACACGGGAGGCTGAGGCAGGAGAATTGCTTGAATCAGGACCCAGAAAGTGGAGGTTGCAGTGAGCCAAGATCACACCAGTGCACTCCAGCCTGGGCTACAGAGCGAGACTCCACCTCCAAAAAAAAAAAAAAAAAAAAAAACAAAAAACAAAACAAAAAAAAAAAAAAACTATGATAGTAGCCACTGTTAAGACTGAAAGAAGGGAAAGAAGGTGTCACACTGAAGCCATTCTAGTTATGTGACATTATCCTATATACAAGGTACTTAGACGCGTGGATAATGGAGAAGTCAAGCTATAATTAATCCCCTAAAGAAAAATATGTTTACATGACAAATGTGTTTGAGTATCTAAATAAGACAAACTTAAACACATGAAGGTTTACAATTTAAACATATTTAAAGAAATACAATTTCATACCTGCTTGTAGTAGTCTATATAGGTGATTTTGGTGCCATCTGATTTGTTAAATGTGTGTCGAGGATTCAGATTCCAATCAACACCATCTACTCTGTAGGTCCTGTTGTTGTATCTGTGAAATTACAATATGGTATTATATCTGACTTTTTCATTGCACGGAACCATCGCACAGAAAATAAGACATTTTTAATCTTGCAAGGAATTGCAGGATATATTAGATTTACTAAGATGTAATTCACGGCCAGGTGCGGTGGCTCACGCCTGTAATCCCAGCACTTTGGGAGGCTAAGGGCGGATCACAAGGTTAAGAGATCGAGACCATCCTGGCCAACATGGTGAAACCCCGTCTCTACTAAAATACAAAAAAATTAGCTGGGCATGGTGGCGCATGCCTGTAGTCCCAGCTACTCCGGAGGCTGAGGCAGGAGAATTGCTTGAACCCAGGAGGCAGAGGTTGCAGTGAGCCAAGGTTGTGCCACCACACTCCAACCTGGCGCCTGGTGACAGAGTGAGACTGTCTCAATTAAAAAAAAGATGCAATTCACATAATACACAACTCACCCATACAATCACCTGGTTTTTACTATAGCCACAGAGATGTGTAATCAAGACAATCAAAGAAACATAACCATAAGCGGTCACTTCCCATTTTAGTCTAATCCACCAGCCTTCAGGCAACCACTAGTCTACTTCCTGTCTCAACACATTTGCTCATTCATGTAAACTGAGTCATAGAACGTCTGTTCTTTCCTGACTGGCTTCTTTCACTTAGCATTGTGTTTAAGATTCGACCAAGCTGTAGTATGTCTTGGCACTTAATTCCTTTCCATTTCCAAAAATATTCTGTTGTAGGATATCCCACCTTTTGTTTATCCATTCACCAGCTAGACATTATGGTTGTATATACTTTTGGTTACCATGAATAAGGTTACAAACATTTATGTGACGATTTTAGTGACTGTTATTTCTCTTGCGTGTTTAAGTAGGAGTAAAATTTCTAGGTTATATATGTAGGAGTTAAAAAGGAATTATTTAGGTGGCTAATAAAAGTTCTCAGTGGAATTTTCTCTTAATAAAAAAACAGCCCCCAAATATTTTCTTTTCTAACAAAAAGCAGCCTGAAAAAATCAAGCTGCAGCATAGATAAGCAAGCCGGAAGCTTGCACAGTTGAATGGCAGCAGCTATGCCAGAAGCCAGGTATTTCCAACATGGAGGTTTCTTCTTCCCTTCTCTTTGTGGCCATGTGTGCAGGCTGTTAAGGTGCCAGCCAGGTGGAAACCACATCCACATGATAAAAGATTAGGGTGCGATGACCAGCCTTTTCACAGGCTATGTCAATGGCACACCTGGTCCAAGCAACGCTTTGGGACCTATGCAAATCAGACACCACCTCTTCAAGCCCCTCCATAAAACCAACCTCATCTCTCTGCAAAGAGGAAGATCCATTCAGAACGCCCCTCCCCCTACAAGGAGCAGCTTTTCTCTTTCACCTATTCAACTTTCCGCTCCTAAACCCAACCTCATAGGGCTGCATCTTTGTTTTCCTTACTGTGGGACAACGAACCTTGTGTATTTCCCCAAACGATACCACTTCAGTAATACATATCTTTAGCATTTTAAGAAAGTGCCAGACTGTCTTCCAAAGAAGCCATACCATTTAACATTCCTACAAGCAGCATAGGAAGGTTGCTTCTGATCTTCCCACATCCTTGCCAACACTTATCAATATCTGTCTAATTTTAACCATCCTAATGGGTGTGAAACGATATCTCATTGTGGTTTTCACTTGCATTTCCATGATGGTTACTGATATTGAATGCTTTCATGCATCTATTGGTCATTTGTATATTTTGTTTAAAGAAATATCGCTGGTAAAGTATCTAATTGATCTTTTGTCCATTTTAAAAATTATGTCATCTCTCAATTAAGTGTTGTTTGTATATTCTAGATACAGGTTACTTACGCAATTTGCAAACATTTTCTGTACTTTTTCCAGTTGTTTTCACAATTTTGATAGTACACTTTGAACAAAGTTTTTAAGTTGGTGAAGCCCAATGTATGTTTGTTTTGTTATCACTTCGGCTTTGAGTGGCTTATCTAAGGTTTTGCCTAGCTCAAAGTCAAAAAGATTGAGTCCTGTATTTTTTTTTGAGATGGAGTTTCACTCTTGTTGCCCAGGCTGGAGTGCAATGGCGCGATCTCGGCTCACCACAAGCTCTGCCTCCCTGGTTCAAGCGATTCTCCTGCCTCAGCCTCCCGAGTAGCTGGGATTACAGGCATGCGCCACCATGCCCAGCTAATTTTTGTATTTTTAGTAGAGACGGGGTTTCTCCATATTGGTCAGGCTGGTCTCAAATCCCCAACCTCAGGTGATCCATTCACCTCGGCCTCCCAAAGTGCTGAGATTACAGGTGTGAGCCACTGCACCCGGCCGAGTCCTATATTTTCTAAGAATGTTATGCTTTTAGTTCTTACATCTAGGTCTATTGAGTTGGTTGCGTTAAACTGGAATTAACTGTGTGAGTTATATGAGGAAGAGGGAGGTGGATAGTCAGTTGTCCCAGCAACATTATCGAAAAGACTGTCCTTTCCTCTATTGAATTACCCTGATGCACTTGTCAGAAGGCAATTGACTAAGTGGAGGTTAACCTTCTGAACTTATTCATTGGCCTCCGTCTCTTTAGGCCAACATCACACTATGTTGATTACCGGAGCTTTCTAATAAGTTTTAAAATTGAGAAGTGTGAGTCCTCCAATGTCCATGTAAGATTGCGTTGGCTAAGGAACTGATTCTTTAAATCCATTATCTTATCAATTTAAGATTTCTGCTGCAGAAAGATTCAAAAATTTCCTTCAAATGAAAAACTGCTGATGGATTGTAACTAAGCACTCATTTTTAAACTAGCTAAATGCCCATAACAGAGAGGAAAAGGAAAGAAATCTAGAAAGAGCTTAGTGTTATGTGCAAGGTAGGGTTCAAAATAAATGAACTGGCATTAGGGATTACAAGAATCGTGAAGTCAGCCAGGCGTGGTGGCTCACACCTATAATCCCAGCACTTTAGGAGGCCAACATAGTAAAACCCCATCTGTATTAAAAATACAAAAAAATTAGCTGGGTGTGGTAGCACACGCCTATAGTCCCAGCTGCTTGGGAGGCTGAGGCAGGAGAATTGCTTGAACCCAGGAGGCAGAGATTGCAGTGAGCCAAGATCGCTCCACTGCACTCCAGCTTGGGCAACAGTGTGAGACTCTGTCTCAAAGAATAAAAAAAAAAAAAAAAAAAAAAAAAAAAGAATAGTGGCATCTACAATTGACGTATTCTTTTTTTTTTTTTTTTGAGACGGAGTTTCACTCGTTACCCGGGCTGGAGTGCAATGGCACGATCTCGGCTCAACTCTACCTCCGCCTCCTGGGTTCAGGCAATTCTCCTGCCTCAGCCTCCTGAGTAGCTGAGATTACAGGCATGCACCACCATGCCCAGCTAATTTTTTGTATTTTTAGTAGAGACAGGGTTTCACCATGTTGACCAAGATGGTCTCGATCTCTTGACCTCGTGATCCACCCACCTCAGCCTCCCAAAGTGCTGAGATTACAGGCTTGAGTCACCACACCCGGCCTGACATCCTTCTCCCAAGCTGTATAACCAGAGGAGAAACATGTCCAGTGGTTCTTGCCATTTCTACTCAAACTTGAACATTTAGTGACTAGAGAACTATAGGAGCATCTCTTGCCGTCTCTTGGGGGGTGGGGAGGGAGTTAAAATGATTAGATCAGTTTTTAAAAGATAGACTTACTTTGTCAGAACAATTGATCCAATTAATTTATTAGCTACTTCCACTTGGGGGTTTCCTCGCTGGGCCTCTGCCTGTATTTTGCTTATGAAATCATAAACAGTTTCTATTCGGAGCAGTTTGTGGTTCACGTCAGCACAGAGGGTAATGCCGTTTTCGTACTGAAGAATAGAAGTAACATAACCACGCCAGATTTCCAAGCTGGTACTAGAATAAATTACATGAGAGTAGTAAGTCCAAGCTCTTCACACAAAGCCAAGTGTTTCCAGGCCTAAGCTCTGGGTCTAAAAATTGGTACTTAGAAGTCAGTTTCAATTCCTTGGTCTTAGTCTTTTGAAGGACCTTCAGGTAAACATTTATCAGATGTGCTATTTATATTTTGTTGAACTGTTTTTATCACCCACAGGCTGAAAGTATCATATCCACATGTATCTGTAACATAACTTACATTTGGTATATACCTATACAAGTAATAGAGAGATACAGCTGCTATGACTGAAGATACTCTCAGAGATAAATTACCCATTTTGCACGATCGTTTAGGCTTCTCACAATGTGTATGCAACAACTGGATTACCTTAAGGTTTCTATTTGTCATGCCAAATTTTTTTTAAAATGAATCTTCTTACCTTGAGTTGGCATTACACTTTTAAATGGTCAGTGGATGCCATTTAAAAGGCTATAACTTTTAAGGCATACCACTTCAAATGTGAAATGAATAACTTTCTCAAGAAAATCCTACGTTTAAGTCTGCAGAATGTGAAATTTTCTACTTTATACAAACCCACGACGCTCTAGTGTCAATGGTATCTTTTCGGTATAATAGTGGCGACCGATTTGTTTCAAGTTTAGCTCCTTGAAAGCTCTAGAAATGGAAAAAAATAAATTTTGTTGAAAGTACAGGTTACATTGTTAAGCATTTGGTAAGACATATAATGGAGAAAAAAATCTGTCAATGACTATTTATATCATCAATGAACATAAAGTACGGAACTACAAAGTTACATTATGAGGTGGATAGTAACATTCATTTAACCTCAATTGTTCTGTCTCCTTATAAACGTAATATTGTAGAAAGGTTACCAAGATGTTCTTCATTCTCAAAACTAAACTAAGGTCTCTTTTTCAAACTGTGCCTTTTGTTTGAGACAGAGCCTCGCTCTGTCGCCCAGGCTGGAGTGCAGTGGCACGATCTCTGCTCACTGCAACCTCTACCCACTGGGTCCAAGTGATTCTCCTGCCTCAGCCTCCTGAGTAGCTGGACTGCAGGCACATGCCACCACACCCAACTAATTTTTGTATGTTTAGTAAAGGCAGGGTTTCACCATGTTGGCCAGGCTGATCTCGAACTCCTGACCTCAAATGATCCACCTGCCTCAGCCTTCCAAAGTGCCAGGATTATAGGTGTGAGCCACCACATCTGGCCTCAAACTGCGCCTTTCAAATTTTAACTTTCAATATTTAGTCATCGTAGTGACCACAGAGTAAAAAGTGTATTTGCTACAGGGACATGCATGGATGTGCATAGCTGACGTCTATTATTCTTTCTAGGCAGGTATGAGGCAAAGAGCAGGGGCAGGCCAGGAGAACACTGAGGATAATCCACTGAACTTGCTCATTCCAGGTGAGCCTCAAGTATCATTTCGTCTCCAAGACCCTTCACTCTCTTAATACACGGGACTATGAAGAACAGAAAGTGCTCGAAGCAAATGGCTACGTTCAACACCACTAACCATAAAACAACTGAATGAATAGCAAAGAAATCCAACCCCGATAACCTACTTTCTAAACAGAATGTTGTAAAAGCGTAGGCAATCTGGTGACGTGGGCGCGAGTTCTTTGGAAAACTCAACCACAATCTTCACAATTTTTTTGTCTTCGGTTGTGCTCACCCATTCCACTTTCTGAGAAAAAGAACAAAAAAAAGTCCAGATATTCTACCAAAAACTTTGCATGGCAAATCAACATGTAACTTGGCTATCCAGCAAACTATCGAAATGGGGCAGTCTTTCCCACAAAGGTACACACATGCACGAAAGGGGACTGACAAGAGTGAAGAGTTGGAATATTCAATATTCAAGTTGAAATATTTTACTCAAGCTCCTGAAAACAATTTAATTGTCCAGTTGATATAGAAATTTCTAGAAGAAAATAAGTTTTCTAATTTTTTCTGCTAGGAGTGAGGGGGCTGAAGTTTTGAATGAAACAAATAGAATAAAAACAAAGTATCCAAAATTTGGAAGCATTTTTAAGCCACATTGTGCTATTAAACTTCATTTAGGCATTAAAATTAGAGGCATTATCGAATGTCAGGAACCAAACATGGCATGCAGGTTCTGCTACAAGCCATATGAGCGAGAGGTCCTTGGGGCATCTCTGCAACAACTGCACAAAAATAATGGGTGTTTTATTATATATATAAAAAAGTAAAAGCAAGAGAAAGAACACAGGAAGATGTGAAATAACATTACTTAACCCGCTCTCTTAGTGGCCGAGGTAATAATAAAGAGTTTCCGTCAAATATATGGCACTCCCCAAATTTCCTTATATGTTGATTAAGTAAAATTTGACGGAGATTTCCAGCTTCTACGTCGGGTTTGTAGTCAACATTGTATTTAAATGCAGAACGCTGATGATGGGATATCACTCGGAAGTGATTGGCGATTAGCCGTACCACTTCACCTTCTGAACCTGAAAAATTGAGTGACATGACAATAAACAGACTGATTGGGCCTAAAACAGTTTGGACGCTACAATATTAAAGGCCAAAGTTAGGGCTGGGTGCGAAGGCTCACGCCTGTAAATCCCAATGCTTTGGGAGGCCGAGGAGGGCAGATGATGAGGTCAGGAGTTCGAGACCAGCCTGGGCAACATGATGAAACCCCCATCTCTACTAAAAATTCAAAAAATTAGCTGGGCACGGTGGCATGGGCCTATAATCCCAGCTACTCAGGAGGCTGAGACAAGAGAATTGCTTGAACCTGGGAGATCAGAGGTTGCAGTGAGCTGAGATTGCCACTGTACTCCAGCCCAGGCAACAGTGCAGGACACTGTCTCGAAACCAAAACTCGAACCCCAACCCCAACCCAAACAGCTCCATCTACACTGGGCTATCGGCCAACATACCTGTTTTTGAGTTTTTAACATGCATCATATCTCTCCTGGTGTTTACCACCAGGTCCTGAAAAACTCCACCAATCCTCCTCTCCTGTAAGGATAAGGTTTGTAATCCAGCTTCAAGTCCAGGTTCTCTCACCCCTGCATAAATGTAAAAGCCAGAAGTTTACACAATAAAAAGGGAAGAACAGATAAGACGGTATTAACACCCAGCCTAAGTTTGCTGGAGGTAGGTAAGACGCCACCCAAGGTTCCGAAACACATTTCAGTGACGTGTTGCCACGTGTGTGACCTTTCCCAGAAACCTTTTCCAAGGAGTCCTCAGTTCAGATCCGTGGTTGCCTTAACACTATCGTCCATTCCTGCTACACAATTGCCCCATTTCTTTGGGTATTTTTTCATGGTACAAGATTCTAGAAACCTTGGGTTTTGACTCTTTGAGCCTATCCCCTGCCGCTACACTGCCCCCTAGTGGGTGTCATAAAATGCCAAATAAACCAGTCTTTCAAAAGATCTATGAAAGTGGCTTTTGATACAAAGCTGATCTATTCTTTCTATTAAGAGCAACTACAAAAGGATCACACTATTTTAAACTTACATGCTAAGTTCATATTGAGGTAGCTATTCTACAAAGTTAAATCTGAATGACAGCACAATGCAGTCTTTCACTGACAAGTGAGGCAACCTGGAAGAACACGCACACGTCATTATAAATCCCGTAACCCTGAATGACCAAGACGTCTTTGCCTTGGGTTACAATGGTTTTTCTCAAAAGTTTACTTCCAGGGGCTATTGTTTTCAGTTTATGACAATCTGACAAATTCAGAGTATCCCCATTTCTGATAGACTAAATTTTATCAAACTCCCAACTAGCTCCTAACACATCCGACAATAAAATTCACCATATTAAAATGTCAGCAAAAGGAAACAGGTGTCCCAGCTTGGCACTTCGGCACTTGCTGCAAACCATGCTTTTTTTGAGATGGATTCTCACTCTGTCACCCAGGGTGGAGTACAGTGGCCCCATCTCAGCTCACTTAAACTTCCGCCTCCCACATTCAAGCCATTCTCCTGCCTCAGCCTCCCGAGTAGCTGCGATTACAGGCACATGCCACCATGCCTGGCTAATTGCCGTATTTTTGGTAGAGATGGGATTTTGTCATGTTGGCTAGGCTGGTCTCAAACTTCTAGCCTCAAGTGATCCACCCACCTGGGCCTCCCAAAGTGCTAGTGTGAGCCACTGTGCCCAGTCCACGTACTTTAAACATACTAGTTAATAACCCTTCCGATGGGATCTGATTAAAAATGTGTTTTAATTTTACATATTCAAATGAATAAGCTCATTTTATAGGTTCTGGATTTTGGATCAGTTTACTGTTTATCTATAATACAATTTTTTTAGTGTTGAAGGTTTTGATTCATCACGAGCTACTTTGCTATAATAACCAAAGTGGAGAATCCAGACTGCAGTTGAATCCCGTTGGCCAAATCCTTAGCAAATGACAGTATCTGAGCCTGTGAGCATGAGAGCTTGTATAAATGAGGATGGCCCGGCACCCTGCAATGTGGTAACGGTTTAAACTCTTAATGTCACAATTTAAAGAGGCAAGAAGACGGTATTCTTAGAATTCCATTAAGTTAACCTAGAGTTATCATGTGCAGATGTGTCATTTAAAATTGAAAAGCAATTACGTTGAACTGGCTAATAAACAGTGACCTCCATTTCTTTTCCACACGTTTTAAGACATAAGGTGAAGGAAACACTATCAGATAATTCACTGCACGAAGAGAGACAGTTACCAGCTGCACACACTTCCCATCCCACCAAACCTCACGGGAGTCCTCAGGCTCTGTCTAGAACCTTCTACCACTGTGGTGGCCCTTCACACAGGAAGCATCCCCTGCCCCTCACGTCCTTCTTGCCTCCTTTCACCTCGAGACTGTGCTGTTCCTTCTGCTCCTCTCGGCTGCCGCGGTCTAACCACTGGGCCTTCCTCTCGCAGGGGCCGGGGTGTCCACTGCCACTGAGCAGGCTCCTGGAAATAGAAATAATGAGCTGCGCCCCCCGTGTTTATTCGCCCTCCAAATGGTACTCTCAGGGCACAGGGCAAAGGAATTTCCTCTGCAAAGCTCATATTCCAGTGACAAACTGAGTTGTAACAAGCAACAGTGTAATAGTACTTTGTGTGGTAATTGCTAAGGAAACAAAGACCACCACAAACTGAGGAGAATTGGGAACTACTGGGAGGTTTGATTAGTTGATGGCAAAGGAGGGCCTCAGTGAGAAAGCGACATTGAACCCAAGACTTGGAGGTGCTGAGTGAATTAGCAAAGTCACCCACGCCAAAGGTGGAGGGAAAAAGAGCAGAGCTCTGCAGCTGGGAAGGTTTGAGGAAGAAGGAGGCGGCCAGTGTGGCTGGAAGAAGGGAAGGGCGAGAGAGGTCAGTGAGATGAAGGGAAGGAGGTCCTTTTAAGGAAATTGCTTCTGACTGATAAAATGAGAGCTGTGACAGGATGCCAGGCAGAGGAACAACATGAACTGATTTGTCAAGTTCTGCATTGGGAACACGCAGAGTGAGAGATAAGGAAATAGCAAGGATGTCAGCTGTTTGGGCTGGAAGGCAGGGATAGGAGTGGTGAGAAATTATCCAATACTGGATAGTTTGGAGAAAAAAAAATAGAGAAAACAATCCCTGGTTGTTTTTGAGAAGGGCTTGAGGTCATGGCGATAGGATGAATCCATAGACTTTTGGCCTGAGCAAGCAGAAGAATAAACATCCTTCTGATGAGGTGGGTGTAGTGTGTTGGGAAGGGCAGATCAGGAGAATGAGGTGTCTGTGGACACCCATGGGGCTGTTGGATGGTACAGGAGGGGTTCTGGCTGAAGAGAAAAATGTGGGGACCTGTCCACACACCAGAGAGCATTTTTGACCCTGGATAACTTCACCAAGGGAGTGAGACTATGGAGAAAAAGATGAGGCTCAACAGCTAGGTCTGGGCAAGATCAAGGGGGCACAGAGGAGAACTCCACAAAAGAGAGCAAGAGGGGGTGGCCAGGGATGAAGGAGGTGGCCTCAACACTAAGTGAAGGGAGCCCATCAAGAGAAAAGAGCTCTCGACGGTGCCAAGTACACGCCATGGCGCAAGTCTGAGGAGAGCCGCCCTGTGGATTTGGAGTGCGAGCATCCAGGGAAAGTTTCTTGATGAATGGGAGTGAACTCAGTGAGTTTGGAGACAGATGGGAATGATTTAGGAGAACACACACCTGCTGACTTGGGAGACAGTTGCACCAGACGGGCCCTGGACGGAGGACTGCCTACGGGGCTAAGTAGAGATACTTGCTTTAGGTAGGAACAAGGATGGTGCCCTAGGCCAGGCTCGGCGGCTCACACCTGAAATCCCAGCACTTTGGGAGGCTGAAGCGGGCAGATCACCTGAGGTCAAGAGTTCAAGACCACCCTGGCTAACGTGGTGAAACCCCATCTCTACTAATACAAAAAAATAAAAATAAAAAGCTGGTGTCCTAGGATCTCGGGTGAGGAGCTAGATACGGGTTCAGATGGTCATGAGTGAGGAGACCAGAGAGGGAGCCACTGACGTTCTCATTAGATGCTTTGTCTCAGTGACACAGGGGTCAATGTTGAAAACTGAGAATTAGGACCAGGAGGAGGAACTGAGGTTGGAGGGCTTAGGAGACAGAGAGGAGTGACAATCACAGCAGAGTGAGGGGACCTGGAAGGCGTCATGCTACATCCATGCAGAACAGGGTCCCCCTGGAGGTCGTCAGGTGAGACCCCTCAGTACCACTACGGATCCTGCCGTGTGACTGCAAAGTGGATATGCAGTAAGAGAAGGCAAGACAGAGCGGGCATAACCAGTTTTCAACAAGACTGGAAAAACCTTTCTAACTCAGGCGATGCCAGTGCATTCATGAAGTTGCTTATTTTGGGTCACTTCCAAACAGGAGTCACTGGCTGAAGCCAAGAAATCTAGAAACCTCTGCATCCACTTTGGGCTGAAAGTCAGTCTGCTTGCACATGTGAGAATGTGAGGAGGAAGCAGTGGAGCGCAGACGACGCCTCCCCATGCTGCCTGACTCTTCTTACGAAAATTGATCAGTCTTCACTTAGCACTATTCCTCAACTAGCTTGGCTCGACAACCAACTCTGTTCTTTTCAGTACAGGCACGAATCTCTTGCATAAACAAAGCAATGAAAGTTACAGGCCTTACTCACTGCAGCTGATGCAGCTGATTCAGGTGCTCTGGGTACCCCAGGTGCCTCTTGTTCCTCCTGCTCCCTGCGGCGGGCTCTGCCTCGAGCGGTCGTCCTGGCCCTACCAGTCATTGCGGTCCTGAAGGTGATGACCCTGAAGAACAGTTACGTTACATGTCGGTGGAGCTGCCTGGTGTCTTACTCTCTTCAGTGTTGCTACACCAGAATAGCTGAGGCTGAGTAATTTATGAAGAGGTGGATTTGGCTCCTCATTCTGGTGGCTGGGAATTCCAAGACTGGGCAGCCTGCCTGGTGAGGGTCTCACGCTGCTTCAACTCCCGGTAGAAAGCAGGAGTTGGGGAGAGGTGTTTACAAAGATCACATGGCAAAAGGGGAAACAAGAGAAACTGAGGAAGCCAGACTCAAGCAGCCCAGGCACTAATCCAACGCACTCACGTGAACCTACTCATAAGGGCTCCACCCCCAGGAGCCAAATGCCTCCCAGGAGGTCCCTCTTCCCAACGCTGCCACATTGGGGATCAAATTTCAGCATGAGTTTTGGTGGGGAGGAGCCGTATTCAAACAATAGCACCTGGTAACATTTTTCTTCCTTTTACTATTACTTCCAAGAAAACATCTGATTACTAACTACACACATTTTCCTATTACACCAAAAAGAGGACACCCCCCCCCCCCCCGCCACCACCCGCCACCACCCCGTCGGGTCAGCAAGAAGCCTCCTGTAATAAAAGACTGGACACGTGGTAAAAAAAAAAAAAATTTTTTTTTGAGACAATCTCGTTCTGTCTCCCAGGCTGGAGACAGTGTCTCCGTGCACTGCAACCTCCACCTCCCGGGCTCAAGCAATTCTCCTGCCTTGGCCTCCCGAGTAGCTGGAATTACAGGCACGCGCCACCGTGCCTGGCTAATTTTTGTATTTTTAGTAGAGACAGGGGTTTCACTGTGTTGGCAAGGCTGGTCTCGAATTGCTGACCTCAGGTGATCCACCCGCCTCGGCCTCCCAAAGGGCTGGGATTACAAGCCTGAGCCACCGCAGCGGGCCCAACTTTTCCAGAAATTTAAAGAAACTACGGTTATCTTTCACACACAGACTTACAAGACACTAGGGTTACTACACTTAGAGTCGGGCAAGTACTGGGTTCTTCTCACCTCCCAGGCAGCCCCACAAGCACAGCAAGGAGCCCAGGTGCCCCCGGACCCTCCCACTCCATACTTACACCTGAGCTCCCGCATCCTGAGTGGGTCCTCGGCCCACCCATCTCCTGCCCTGGCCTTTTGGGGTCCGCTGCCACAGCTTACCTGCACTCCTTCCACAAGAATTAGGCTGATCTGTGCGCAACGCGCCACTGGCTTCTGTGGCCTCGGGTCCCTGGTCCCAACCCCCCAGCGTCCCGACGCTGATATCCGCGGGGTCAGAGGCGCAAGGCCCCTTTCGAAGAGGGAGACCCTCCTAACTTTCTGGGCATACAACCCCGTGCCCCGCAGCGCTCACCAAAAGGGCCCAGGAAAAAACGGACTAGCCCAACCTCCCGCAAGATGGGGCACACCCTCAGAGGGGCAGCCGTCGCCCCCGCCCCAATTCAATTTCAACCCTGCGGCCCGGCCTCTTTTGGCGCCGCCTCCATCCGGCCCCAAGAGGCCACGATGAGCTGCACCTGGTGGGCTCAGAGATGCTGCGAAGTCTCCCGGGGATGGGAGTGGGACCGGCTCTCCCTGCCTTCCTGCCTCACCACGTCTTGCTCATTAAACATTCCCGGATTTACCTGCCAGGTACCCTTACAAAACGAGGTGCACTCGGGGCCCCAGCATGCAGCCCTCACCACTTAGTAGCTTTAACCGAGTCCCTGCTGTGGCGGGTATAACTAAATGCAGCTGCTATGACCGTCCTTGAGTTCAAACCTACACGCACCCTCACTCATCTCGTTCGCACAGATCTCCACACGTGGATCTGCTGTCGTGGGTCAGCTTTTCAGCATTTCTTAAAAAATAAACAAATTTTTAAAATAAGCTGGGCGCGGTGGCTCACCCCTGTAATCCCAGCATTTTGGGAGGCCGAGGCGGGCAGATCACCTGAGGTCGGGAGTTCAAGACCAGCCTGACCAAAATGGAGAACCCTTGTCTCTAGTAAAAATACAAAAATTAGCCAGGTGTAGTGGCCCATGCCTATAATCCCAACTATTCGGGAGGCTGAGACAGGAGAATCGCTTGAAACCAGGGGGCGAAGGTTGGGGTGAGCCGAGATTTCACCATGGCAGTCCAGCCTGGGCAACAAGAGCAAAATTCCATCTGGAAAAAAACAGACAAACAAAAAAAAACAGAAACAAACAAACAAACAAAAAACCTTATCTGTTCTGTTTTTTTCATCTATTCCAGATTTCTGTAATTCTTTTTGGCCTTGCCGTGTGTGAGCGCGTGCGTACGTGTGTGTGTGTGTGTGTGTGTGTGTGTGTGTGTGCGTGTGTGTGTTTTGAGACAGGGTCTCCCTCTTTTGCCCAGGCTGGAGTGCAGCAGTGCAGTCTCCACTCACTGCAACCTCAACCTCCCAGACTCAAGAAATCCTCTCTCTTTGGCCTCCAGAGTACCTGGAACTGCAGGTCCAGCCACTACCCCTGGCTGATTTTTTAGCATTTTTTGTAGAGACAGGGTTTCGCCATGTTGCCTGGGCTGGTCTTGAGCTCCTGGGCTCAAGTGATCCTCCCGCCTCAGCCTCCCAAATTGCTGGGATTACAGGTGTGAGCCACCATGCCCAGCCTAGGTATTTTTTGAAAATCATCAACTCTTTAATATTTTATCACTGTTACATTCAGATCCTTGATGTACACACTGAATACCTGTTAATTATGAGAAATAGCTATCTGACACCATTTCTTAACTAGTCTTTGTGTTACTGCTTTGAAGAAATCTGCATGTGCCCTCAGCTTGAATTCCAGACACAGCTGTGCCCTGTTGGCCAGGTGCAGTGGTTCATGCCTGTAATCCCAGCACTTTGGGAGGCTGAGGCAGGAGGATTGTTTGAGCCCAGAAGACCAGCCTGCGCAACATAGCAAGAAACTGTCTCTAAAATAATAATTGCTTGAGCCTGGGAGGTCAAGGCTGCAGTGAAATATGATCACACCACTGCACTCTAGCCTGGCTGACAGAATGAGACTCTGTCTCAAAAAATTCTGCACTGTGTGTGGTGCAGCAGTAACGTATTTGTTTACTCTATCTTGAAAATTCGATTTTCTAAAGATTAGAAAAGCCTAAACCTGCTAAGTACTTGAAAATTCCTGGTCTGCTGGGAGCTCAGGCCTGCAATCTCAGCACTTTGGGAGGCCAAGGAGGACAGATCACCTGAGGTCAGGAGTTCAAGACCAGCCTGGCCAACATGGTGAAACCCCGTCTTTACTGAAAATACAAAAATCAGCTGGGTGTGGTGGCAGGTGCCTATAGTCCCTGCTACTTGAGAGGCTGAAGCAGGAGAATTGCTTGAACTTGGGAGACAAGTTGCAGTGAGCCAAGACTGTGCCACAGCATTCCAGCCTGGGCAACAAGAGCCAGACTCCATCTCAAAAAAAAAAAAAAAAAAGAGAGAGAGAGAGAATTCCTGGCCATAGAAGGATAGGTCGCTTGCCAGCAACAGCCCGTACCGACCATCTCCTACCCTGTGACATGAACCACCCTCCTGCCCTCTGTCCCCACCACCACCAAGCCTGACCTCCTAGGAGCTGAAAGAATTATTCTTGAGAGTCAGAGCCCCCAGCCCCCTGCTTTGTCCCCCAACCCTCAAGGACAAAAAGTACTTTGGCCCCCCGCCTGCAGCACCTGGGAAGGAAAGGAGAGTGACCTTGCCCTGCGCTCAGGACCACCCTGGAGGAAGAAGCCACCCTGTCGCTGCGGAGAACTGAAGCTGTCCAGAGCCCAAGGCTGTGCGCCTGCCTTGTGCTGATTCTCTGCCTCGGAAAAGACCATGCAGATGGAGACCGCAGTGGCCCTGAACATCATGTAGATTTGTAAAACCTCATAGGTTACTTGGATGCACAGTGAGGTCAAACCACTAACAGTGGCCTAAGAGCAAAACTGGATTAACTGGTAAAAATGGGACTTTTGTTCATTGTTATAGACTGGTCAGAAGTACTACCTGTCCTGAGCTTGGCCCCCAGCCTCGCCTCACAGGGTGGCCCTCAGATGCCAGGCTACTAAGGCACTGCTTTCCCGATCACGAGACATTGTGGGGATAATGTGACTGTCTACTCCAGGGGATTCCGACTTGTGCACACATCAGAATCACCCAGATGGAGGCCATGCACTGTGGCTTATACCTGCAATCCCGAGATGGGTGGATCACTTGAGATCGGGAGTTTGAAAGCAGCCTGGCCAACATGGTGAAACCCCGTCTCTACTAATACAAAAAAGCTGAGTGTGGTGGTGCGAGCCTGTAGTTCCAGCTACTGGGGAGGCTGAGACAGGAGAGTCGCTTGAACCCAGGAAGCAGTGAGTCAAGATCATGCCACTGCATTCCAGCTGAGTGAAACTACAGTTTCACTCTGTCTCAAGAGAAAAAAAAAAAGGAATCACCCAGATGGTTTGTTTACATGTCGGTTCCCAGACCCCAATCCCCCAGGTTCAGATTCACAGATTGAGATCTTCCAACTCAGAGCAACAAAGCAACCAAAACGAACACTCGTCTCAGAGCTGGCACTAGCACTTCTCCCATCCCGTATTGGCCACACAAACCAACCCTCCTACAGTCTGACAGGATGCCGTACACGGCTGTGACTGCCAGGAGGTGGGAACCATTGCCCTCAATTTGGAAACCGGATCCCCCTCTACTCATGTTCACATGCCCTGTATTAATCAGGATTCTCCAGAGAGACGAGCCAATAGGATCTGTATATCCTGTTGGTTCGTGCAATGATGAAGTCGCACAGCAGGCTTTCTGCAAGCTGTAGAACCAGGGAAGCCAACTATGTCACCCTCACTCACGATCTTGGCTCACTGCAACCTCCACCTCCTGGGTTCAAGGAATTCTCCTGACTCAACCTCCTGAATAGCTAGGATTACACACCCAGTTAATTTCTGGTATTTTTAGTAGAGACATGGTTTCACCATCTTGGCCAGGCTGGTCTCGACCTCCTGACCCCAGGTGATCCACCTGCCTCAGCCTCCCAAAGTGCTGGGATTACAGGTATGAGCCACCACGCCTGGCCCATCAACTTGTGTTTCAAGGAACATGGTTGTAGTGTAGAGAATAGGATATGGGAGAGTAAAGGTGGAAATGGGGCAACCAGTTAAGCTTCTGCAGAAATCCACAAGGGAAATCATGATGGTGTGCCTCAGGAACTACTGGATTGTGGACATATTTGAATGATAGAGGGAAGGAGAAGCATGAAGGAGGACTTCAATGTTCTGCAGCCTTTGTGGCTGGTAAAAATGAAGAGCTATCAACTGAGGTGAGGGAGCTACGCGTGGA